AAAATGCTAAAATTTATTTAGCACTATTAGTTTGACGAGGTGCTTGCTAAAATGAACTCGTAAAGCGTATTCCGGGTCTAAAACGGTTTTTACGACGCGAAATTTTAGTGGAAGTTATGTTGTGAGCAATTTTAATACCCGGTAAGTCGATAATAATGACTAGGAAAGTACGCATTGGTGTCGCGAAGTTGTTTTTTTACAGGGATTCTGATGTATATTAAATAATATTATTTTCTAATTGTGAACTAACATTGAGGCTACATAAACACTATAATAAGTATCCAATATAGTTTCAATGACTACTTTCTTAGTTCAAAACTGTATTGGATACTCTATTTAGCAAAACTTTTTGATTGATGTTTAACAAAAAAATATTCTTCTCAATGGAAAGAGTCAAAAGTTTGTTTTGGTAATAAGTCAAATATTGAAAACTATAAACCCATTTTTATAATATGTAATCTGTCAAAGGTCTTTGAAATAATACTGTATAAGAAATTATAACTTTAGGATTAAAACCAATTATCAAAAATTTTACATAGATTTATTTCTAATCGCTCCACCGTAATTTTGATTAATTTCCTCGGAATCCCTACAACAAATTACCTTGGATATTCAAGAATAATTTCAATAATTATTTTGTAGGGGTAATTTTGAGATTTGTTTGTACATTCCCAGGGAATTGATCATCCTATTCTTGTAAAAAAGGTAGGTCCCAGGATAGATCCTTGAGGAACTCCGATTTTATTCACTAATTGATGAGAAATTAACGTTCGGTCGGTATGGTAATCTTCATGTTGGATTTTAACAGACTGTGTTCAATTGGAAAAATATGATAGAACCATTCATATTGTTTACCTTTTACACCCAGTTTTTCCTTAAAGTTGGATATATATAGGATTTTTTTTTTAATATTACTGAATCGCCTCTGCTTATTTAAAACCTTATCTGTCAAATTCGTTTTAAAAATGAACGTTTTTTCAAAAAAATACTTTAATATGCACTATTTAAAGCTTTTATTCCTATATGTATTCAACTTTATGGAACACACTATTTAATTTGTATAGTATAATTTCATGATGGATACATTTGAAAGCCCGACTGAAATCACAAAAGATTCAAGTAGGGTTTTCGCCTGATTCCACAGCTTCCATAAGATTTAAATAAAATTAGACAATTGCAGAAATTGTGGTAAGCGTTCCACAACTTCGAAAACCATTATGGTTTGGGGTTTTACACCAATAAAAATGAACCTATAAAAACGGTGTCCAAGATTTTCATTAAATTTGATGTATTAATTTTTAATCTTTTCGGTCACCTATAGTCACCTATAGTTTGTTTTATAACACTAAAAAATTTACTTATGGAGATGGTGTTCACAAGTTTCAATAAATTTAGTAAATCCAGTTATTTTTATATCACAAGAAAATGAACCTATGAAGATAGTGTCCGACATTTTCATTAAGTTTGATGTATTAAGTAATTGTTAAGCATTTCGTTAACCTAGAGCTCGTTTTTAACCATAAAAAAATTAACCTATGAAGATGGTGTCCAAGATTTTCATTAAATTTGATGTATTATGTGATATTTATGTATTTCGTCCATTTCAGAGCTCCTTTTATACCACTAAAAAAATTAACTGTTGAAGATGGTGTCCAAGATTTTCATTAAATTCAGTATATTTTATTATTTTTAAGTATTTCCTCCACCTGGAGTTCGTTTTATACCACTAAAAAATTTCAACCTATTAAGATGGTGCCCAAGATTTTCAATAAATTTTATATATTAAGTGAATTTTAAGCATTTCGTCCACATAGAGCTCGTTTTATAGCATTAAAAAAATTAACCTCTGAAGATGATGTCTAAGATCTCTATTAAATCTACCTATATTAAGTGAATTTCAAGCATTTTGTTTACCCAGAACTCGTTTTACACCTCTAAAAAATGAACCTATGAAGATGATGTCCAAGATGTTCATTTAATTCAGTATATTTTATTATTTTTAAGCATTTTCTCTACCTGGAGCTCGTTTTATACCACTAAAAAATTTCAACCTATGAAGATGATGTCCAAGATTTTCATTAAATTTGCCAATATTAAGTGAATTTCAAGCATTTTGTTTATCTAGAACTCGTTTTACACCAATAAAAAAATGAACCTATGAAGATGTGCAAGATTTTCATTTAATTCAGTATATTTTATTATTAAGCATTTCCTCCACCTGGAGCTCGTGACCACTAAAAAATTTCAACCTATGAAGATGATGTCCAAGATTTTCATTAAATTCAGTATATTTTATTATTTTTAAGCATTTCTTCCACCTGGAGCTCGTTTAGATTAGATTAGATTTAATTAGGACTATGGGCCATGTGGCCTCCCCCACCTCGACCTTTTCAGATATTGTGGATAATTTGTGGAGCTCGTTTTATACCACTAAAAAAAAAAAAAATTTAGCCTATGAAGATGGTGTCCACGGTTTTCACTAAATTTTATATACTCTATGAATCTTAAGCTTTTCGTCCACCTGGAGCTCGCTTTATACCACTAAAAAAATTAACCTACGAAGACGGTGTCCAAGATTTTCATTAAATTCAGTATGTTTTATTTTTAAGCATTTCCTCCACCTGGAGCTCGTTATATACTACTAAAACATTTTAACCTATGAAGATATTGTCCAAGATTTTCACTAAATTTTATATATTAAGGGAATTTTAAGCATTTTGTTTACTTACAACTCGTTTTACACCACTAAAAAATTAACCTATGAAGATGATGTCCAAGATTTTCATTAAATTTACTTATATTGAGGGACTTTTATCAATTTTGTTTACCTAAAACTCGTTTTACATCACTAAAAAATGAACCTATGAAGATGGTGTCCAAGATTTTCATTAAATTCAGTATATTTTATTATTTTTAAGCATTTCCTCTACCTGGAGCTTGTTGTATAACATTAACAAAATAAACCTAAGGAGATGGTATCCAAGATTTTCATTAAATTTGATGTTTTAAGTACTTTTTAAGCATTTCGTCCACCTGGAGCTCGTTTTATACTACTAAAAAATTTCAACCTATGAAGATGTCCAAGATTTTTACTAAATTTTATATATTCTATGAATCTTAAGCTTTTCGTCCACCTAAAGCTCGTTTTATCCCACTTAAAAAAAATTAACCTATGAAGATGGTGTCCAAGATTTTTATTAAAACCTATAAGTGATTTTTAAGCAATTTGTTTACCTAGAACTTGTTTTACACCACTATAAATGAACTTATGAAGACGCTATCCAAGATTTTCAATAAATTTGATGTATTAAATCATTTTTAATCTTTTCGGCCACCTAGAGTTTGTTTTATAACACTAAAAAATTTACTCATGGAGATGGTGTTCACAATTTTCAATAAATTTAGTAAATGCAGTTATTTTTATATCACTCGAAAATGAACCTATGAAGATAGTGTTCAACATTTTCATTAAGTTTGATTAAGTAATTTTTAAGCATTTCGTTCACCTAGAGCTCGTTTTTTACCATTAAAAAATTAACCTATGAAGATGGTCTCCAAGATTTTCATTAAATTTAGTATATTTTATTATTTTTAAGCATTTTCTCCAATTGGAGCTCGTTTTACCCCACTAAGAACTTACAATCTATGAAGATGGTGCCCAAGATTTTCAATAAATTTTATATATTAAGTGCATTTTAAGCATTTTGTCCACATAGAGCTCGTTTTATAGCACAAAAAAAATTAACCTATGAAGATGATGTCCAAGATGTTCATTAAATTTACGTATATTAAGTGACTTTTAAGCAATTTATTTACCTAGAAGTCGTTTTTAACCACTAAAAAATGAAACCTATGAAGACGGTGTCCAATATTTTCATTAAATTTGATGTATTAAGTAATTTTTATACTTTTCGGCCACCTAGAGTTTGTTTTATAATACTAAAAAATTAACCTATGAAGATGGTGTCTAAGATTTTCATTAAATTTGATGTATTATGTGATTTTTATGTATTTCGTCCATTCCAGAGTTCTTTTTATACCACTAAACAAATTAACTGTTGATTAAATTTTATATAAGTGAGTTTTAAGCATTTTGGCCACCTAGAGCTCGTTGTATACTACTAAAAAAAGTAACCTATGAAGATGGTGTCCCAGATTTTCATTAAATTTGATGCATTAAGTAATTTTTAACTATTTCGTCCACCTAGAGTTCGTTTAACAAAATAAACCCAAGGAGATGGTGGCCAGGATTTTCTTTAAATTCAGTATATTTAATTTTTGAGCATTTCGTTCACCTAGAGAGCTCATTATATACCCATTTCGTTCACCTAGAGCTCATTATATGTGATGAAGTCGAAGATGGTGTCCAATATTATCATTAAGTTGTGTATTAAGTAATTTTTAAGTATTTCGTCCACCTAGAGCTCTTTTTATAACACAAAAAAATACCCTATGGAGATGACATCCAAGATTTTTATTAAATTTAAAAGCCCGACTGAAATCACAAAAGATTCCAGTAGGGTTTTCCAAAAGATTTAAATAAAATGAAAATTGCAGAAGTTGTGGTAAGCGTTCCACAACCTTGTTGGTTTGGGGTTAAAATATTATTTAATTCAAGAAATTTGGGTTAAAAATTTAAAATTGTATATTCAAACACTTTTGATAGTATCGAGGGCATGATGACAGGCTGATAATTCTTTAAAATAATGTGGATTTATAATTTTTAAAATTGGGGAAACTGGAATGTTTCAATTGTGATGGAAACCTTCCATCCTTAAAGGATATGTTTAATGTTTAACAATATGGCAATGTGGATAATTTTCAAAATATTTGTGCCCTCAAGAAAATTTCTCAATTGTAAAATAAATAAATAATAATAAATCTTGGCAATAGAGGAACGGAACTCAAAACATTATGTATTAAACTTTTGATATAATTTTTTTAAACCAATATTTTTTAATATGCAAATGTGTACGTTTTTTCTTAACGATTTATATTAGATTTAGAAATAAAACCTGAACCAGAGAACGAATTTTATAAAAAAGAAGCTAAAGATATGGTTAATATTGTACAGAGACTTATTTCAGTTGGTAAGTTATTTTAATTTTTTTTATATATTTTTTTTAAACAAGTAGAAGTAGATCTAAGTATCTATTTAATCTTCAGACACCCTCTTACATATCTATTATGGATTAGATACAAAAACTCTTATGAAAATCCATGTAACTAACCTGTAAAGGTTATATTTTGGTATGCCTGAAGATACTTCAAAAATTGTGAACTTTTTGTACCATTTAGCCGATGTTAAAAAATACATCATAACCATAAGTTTATTAGGAAATTAATATATTTTATCAAATACAATGTGTAAAATTAGGAATTTTGACAACATATTAATTAAACACCTTGTATACATGTACTATGTATTTATCGACAAGTAATAATTTTTTATTATTATTTTATTATTAATGGTATTACACTTTGAAATACCAAAGCATTATTATTTATTAGCTGTGTTTGCATTTCTATTTGATTCATCGTATTTATGACAACTTCCCGGGCAATTTTTCCTAGTCAGCAAGTGTAATGAACTTATCAGTGTCGTCTATTCAATTTAACCCATCTAGAATACCTGGTACCGATTAGTTACTTTCTCCTAAATACTATCATAAAAAATATACAGGGCATATCAGAATAAAGTACGTAAACTGAAAGACATTTAGATCATAGGTAATTATTTATTAAGAAAAACTAAATATAAGGTTTGTTCCAACAGCAGTCTAGAACTGTTCTGAATTTGTATGCGCATGCATAGTAAGATTTAAGAGTTCAAAAACTCATTCTACACATGCGCATTCAAATAATAACTTTTCTGTACTGCTGTTGAAACAAACATATAATTTTCCTGAAAACGTACCTGTTTTAATTCTATAAACTTCAAAGTTGCCAGAGTGTGTAGTTTATAGTAAATACTAGGGAAAGACAAAAAATTAATAACATAGTACAACATAGTACCGAGAAGAGATAAAATGTGGAAAAGAAATAGTCATTAAAGCGAAATTAAATACTTAAAAGAATAATAAATAAAATAAATAAAATAAAACTACATAAAAGAAAATACAATTAAATTTCTATAAGAAAGACAACATTGTACTGTAAGTGATTTTTAAGTATCTTATTTACCTAGAACTCGTTTTACACAATCAAAAAAATTAATCATTGAAGATGGTGTCCCAAGATTTTCATTAAATTTGATGTTTTAAGTATTTTTTAAACATTTTGTCCACTTAGAGTTTTTATAACACTAAAAATTATCTTATGGAGATACTGTTCATGATTTTCAATAAATTTAGTAAATCCAGTTATTTTTATGCCACTAAAAAATGAACCTATGAAGATGGTGTCCAATATTTTCATTGAGTTTGATGTATTAGGTAATTTTTAACCATTTCGCTCACCTGGAGCTTGATTTATGCAATAAAAAATAATTAAACCATGAAGATGGTGCCCAAGATTTTTATTAAGGTTGATGTATTATGTAATTTTTAAGCATTTAGTTCACTTAGAGCTCTTTTTATGACATTAAAAAAATAACCTATAGAGATGGTGTCCAAGATTTTCATTAAATTTGATGTATTCAATGATTTTAAGCATTTCGTCTACCCAGAGCTCCTTTTATACCACTAATAAAAATTAATCTATGAAGATGGTCCATTATTATCATTAAGTAATTTTTAAGCATTTCGTCCACCTAAAGCTCGTTTTATAAGACTAAAAAAATAATCCTTTGAAGAAGGTATCCAAGATTTTCATTGAATTTGATGTATTAATTGCTTTTCAAGTATTTCATCTACCTACAGCTAGTTTTATAATTTTAAAAAATTAATTTATGGAGATGGTGTTCAAGATTTTCATTAAATTCAGTATATATTTTTTTAAGTATTTCGTCCTGCTATAGCCTATTTTAAAGCACGAAAAAATTAACGAAATTAAATACTTAAAAGAAAAATTTCAATACATAGAAGTAAATGGAGAAAAATAGTACGAAAAATATCATAATAGTAAATGGATTAATTTCAGGTAATAAGAAAAATCTTGAAAAGTTCATCAAAGATAAATTAAAATAAAAGAAAAGCTTTAAGTAGCTGAAATAGATAATTTTAAATAAAACATTAAAACAATGAGAAATAAAAAGAAACTAACGTATAATAGAAACGAAGAGTACAGGGGAAACTAGATCAGACTCAATTTTTGTTAAAAATTAAGTAAAATCGCCATATTATAGTTTTAGGAACAATCTTTCTGCAGTCAGGGCCGGAGCTTGAGTAAAACTTAAAATTAAAAGCCATGCAACGTAAAAATATGAGTCTATAAACTTTGTTTTGTTTATTCTACGAAAAGTAGTTTTTGTAACCCTAATAATTTTTCCCCTATGGTCTTCAAATGTAAAAGTATTTATTGAAAATGACCTAACAGAAAAAGATAAAACTATATAAAAGAAAATACAATTAAATTTCTATAAGACAACATTGTACTGTAAGTGATTTTTAAGTATCTTATTTACCTAGAACTCGTTTTACACAATCAAAAAAATTACTCATTGAAGATGGTGTCCAAGATTTTCATTAAATTTGATGTTTTAAGTATTTTTTAAACATTTCGTCCACTTAGAGTTTTTATAACACTAAAAATTAACTTATGGAGATACTGTTCATGATTTTCAATAAATTTAGTAAATCCAGTTATTTTTATGCCACTAAAAAATGAACCTATGAAGATGGTGCCCAATATTTTCATTGAGTTTGATGTATTAGGTAATTTTTAACCATTTCGCTCACCTGGAGCTTGATTTATACAATTAAAAATAATTAACCCATGAAGATGGTGCCCAAGATTTTTATTAAATTTGATGTATTATGTAATTTTTAAGTATTTAGTTCACTTAGAGCTCGTTTTATGACACTAAAAAAATAACCTATGGAGATGGTGTCCAAGATTTTCAATAAATTTGATGTATTCAATGATTTAAGCATTTCGTCTACCCAGAGCTCCTTTTATACCACTAATAAAAATTAATCTATGAAGATGGTCCATTATTATCATTAAGTAATTTTTAAGCATTTCGTCCACCTAAAGCTCGTTTTATAAGACTAAAAAAATAAACCTTTGAAGAAGGTATCCAAGATTTTCATTGAATTTGATGTATTAATTGCTTTTCAAGTATTTCATCTACCTACAGCTAGTTTTATAATTTTAAAAAATTAATTTATGGAGATGGTGTTCAAGATTTTCATTAAATTCAGTATATATTTTTTTAAGTATTTCGTCCAGCTATAGCCTATTTTAAAGCACGAAAAAATTAACGAAATTAAATACTTAAAAGAAAAATTTCAATACATAGAAGTAAATGGAGAAAAATAGTACGAAAAATATCATAATAGTAAATGGATTAATTTCAGGTAATAAGAAAAATCTTGAAAAGTTCATCAAAGATAAATTAAAATAAAAGAAAAGCTTTAAGTAGCTGAAATAGATAATTTTAAATAAAACATTAAAACAATGAGAAATAAAAAGAAACTAACGTATAATAGAAACGAAGAGTACAGGGGAAACTAGATCAGACTCAATTTTTGTTAAAAATTAAGTAAAATCGCCATATTATAGTTTTAGGAACAATCTTTCTGCAGTCAGGGCCGGAGCTTGAGTAAAACTTAAAATTAAAAGCCATGCAACGTAAAAATATGAGTCTATAAACTTTGTTTTGTTTATTCTACGAAAAGTAGTTTTGTAACCCTAATAATTTTTCCCCTATGGTCTTCAAATGTAAAAGTATTTATTGAAAATGACCTAACAGAAAAAGATAAAACTATATAAAAGAAAATACAATTAAATTTCTATAAGACAACATTGTACTGTAAGTGATTTTTAAGTATCTTATTTACCTAGAACTCGTTTTACACAATCAAAAAAATTAATCATTGAAGATGGTGTCCAAGATTTTCATTAAATTTGATGTTTTAAGTATTTTTTAAACATTTCGTCCACTTAGAGTTTTTATAACACTAAAAATTAACTTATGGAGATACTGTTCATGATTTTCAATAAATTTAGTAAATCCAGTTATTTTTATGCCACTAAAAAATGAACCTATGAAGATGGTGTCCAATATTTTCATTGAGTTTGATGTATTAGGTAATTTTTAACCATTTCGTTAACCTGGAGCTTGATTTATACAATTAAAAATAATTAACCCAAGAAGATGGTGCCCAAGATTTATATTAAATTTGATGTATTTATGTAATTTTTAAGTATTTAGTTCACTTAGAGCTCGTTTTATGACATTAAAAAAATAACCTATGGAGATGGTATCCAAGATTTTCAATAAATTTGATGTATTCAATGATTTAAGCATTTCGTCTACCCAGAGCTCCTTTTATACCACTATTAAAAATTAACCTATGAAGATGGTGTCCATTATTATCATTAATTTTGATGCATTAAGTAATTTTTAAGCATTTCGTCCACCTAGAGCTCGTTTTATACCACTAAAAAAATAAACCTTTGAAGAAGGTATCCAAGATTTTCATTGAATTTGATGTATTAATTCCTTTTCAAGCATTTCATCCACCTAGAGCTAGTTTTGTAATGTTAAAAAATTAATTTATGGAGATGGTGTTCAAGATTTTCATTCATTATATAATTTTTTAAGTATTTTGTCCAGCTATAGCCTATTTTAAAGCACTAAAAAATTAACGAAATTAAATACTTAAAAGAAAAATTTCAAGACATAGAAGTAAATGGAGAAAAATAGCCACTCTCCAAATATTTTTCCGTTCATAGTCTCAGAGCGGACGGACCCTTGAAGCAACTCAACTTCCACCGGCTCTTCGTTCCAACGCAAAATGTGGATATTGAAAGAAAATCCGTTATTAACTGGAAACTCCGCGTTGTTTGTTCATTATTTCCCTCTAGAAAAATCCATTAAATATCCATAATGGCCGACCCGATCGTATACGCGTAAGTTTGCGAAAAATTTAACGGCCCATTAAATCCTCCCATAAAATATTTATTAACCTATATCGGAAGAACGGAAAGCAAACATTTCGAACAGAATAAAAACATCCATTGTTTTGCAAACCGAAAATGTGTTATAATGGTCGAGGATAATAATCATACATTAAGAATTAATAATATTAATAATAGTGATAGAAAAATATGTGTTATTATTAGAGATTGGGAGTTATAACAATATTTTCAATTGTATAAATAAAAAGGAATTATTAGTAGGATCAGAATAGGATTTGATGTACTTTTTTGGATGATCGTTATTATAGATATTTCAATTTATTTAAAAAATATAGCGCTTGTGTAGAGTTCTAAAAAAATAATTGCAAAAAGGTCGTCTTTGTACCAAATGAAAACAACTAACGACGGTTAACTATCAAAAATATTAAGTTTTTATAAAGTGAAACATACATCTATACACGAAAAAAAAATTGTAGAACAAATTTCTACAATTGTAGATTTTTTCTCTACAATAAATAGTACATATAGGGACAGGGACAATTTGTAGTAAAAATTTTCAAATATTTGTGGAGAATGTATTGTAGAGTTATTATCTACAATATTTAGTAAAAAGATCCAAATGCATTATAAGAATTGTTCTACAAATTGTTATAATTTTTGCTATTCATTGTATGAATTTATATTAAAAATGTATTGCGTTTTATGAAAATAAATACGAAAATTTTACACAATAAATAGTAAAAATTCATACAAATTGTAGTAATTTTTAATAAAATTTGTAGTAGTATTCCATAATTATTATAATTATAACCTATAAAAAAATGTTCCTTAATAAAATATTCAATTTATTGTTTTAATATAAAATATACAAATTCTTAATTACATTATGTAATAAATAACAGTAATAATAGCGCCCTCAGTCTCAGTTGGCTTTTCTGCACCTGAAAAATATGAAATAAAAATTAATACCAATTGAATTGTTCATACCCTTAAAACGGGGATATTTATCACCTTTACACTGATTTGGATATTAAATGACTAAGTCAGATAACTAACAAAAATGAGAAAGTAGGTATGTCACAATTAAGACAAAAAACATCATTGAACTTGGCAAAAAATTCGATCGTTGGGCACAACATTAGATCGTTGGCCACAATTATTTTTTTAAAATAATCTACTAAGGTTATTTAAATTAGTTATCTAAAGGTAAATTATTCAAAAACAATAATAAATGTACTTACCACCAATAGAATTTATTATTATTATTATTTCTTAAACGCATCAGTGCTTATAATATAATAATGTGTTATAGGTACTCGTATATGTACCATGCTTTGTTATGTGAACATGGCGAACGGCTACTGCTGTCTGGCCGTTTATGATCGACGTCAGAAAACGTTGGCCAATAGCAGAATTCTGTTTTGTTCACATGACTTAGAATTTATACAATATTATAGAATATTTTTGAAGAAGGGATGTAAAGTATTACTATTTTTTGTAGAGAAAATTACTATTTTTTGTAGAGAAAATTATTATTTTTTGTAGAGAAAATTACTATTTTTTGTAGAGATAATTATTAATATTTGTACAAATTTTTACACAAGTTAGTAGTAGTAATTACGATAATTGTAATAAATTTCTACTTCTACAAACAATAGTAAAATATACTAAACATTGTGGACTTCTTTCCTATTGTTGTAGCATTTTATTCGACAATTCAATTGCTACAATAATTTATAGTTTTTAACTATAAATTGTAGTAAAATTTTCTACAAATTGTTAAGTATTTTTCTACAAGTCTACTACTACAACATTGTAGTAAAATTTTCTAGTCACATTTTTTTCCGTGTATCCAATCTTTTAATGAACATGCTCTCCTTATACCAATAAATGCAATCTGTAAACAAGGTTTTATCTCTAGTTTGGACATAAACTCATGTCAAATTAAAAAGCCACAAAATTCGTAAACATTTTGGATTACCTCCATTTTTAGAATCTTCAAAATATTAATTTTCAATTCACTAACAATTCAGAATTATTTTTTTTTACACACATGGATAATAGCTTATCTACGCGCAGACTACAAATTAAAAAAGTATGCTATTGCGATCAATTGAACGAATATATTTCATATCCATTCTAGGCATTGAAAACACTGTCAAAAAATGAAATCCGCCGAATACAGTTCACATTTGTGACACACCAATTATTATTTTTAAAATTTTAAATAAGTGACAATTCTGTCAATAATAAATTAACAATTGATTGGCACTACACTATTTACTCTGACATATACTCACAAATCATCAACGATAATAAGCCAACAGTATTCCCAAAGAATACAGCAACAATTAAAATAACGCAATCGAAAGAATACTTAAGAGAAAAATGTTTCCCTTAAATTTGCCGGTGTGTAGGAAACCAGCCTACATACACGATATCTAAAAAATATGGCCTTTACCTGTGCATAGTTCTAAAAAATCCTCTAGAGGTCCTTAGTTTATGATACATTTATTATTATCTAATAAACCTGAAATCAAAACCAATTAAACAATTGGTTTTGAATAATCAAAAAAATACGTGGGTATATTTATATTGTAATATTTTATTATTGTTTTTCAGGGCATAGATTCGAAATACCTGAAAGTATTCACCTTACTCTGGAACCCGGCATATGGTAAGTTTTTTTATTTCATATTACCCCACTCTCCCATGGCCCTACGCAACTTCTTAGTAGACACTTATTTTTGATCATTTATATTTTTTAATATTTCCTGTTATCTACAACTTATTTTTGATTACTTATAGAGGTATTTATTTCTCTCGACATTTCCTGTTATCTACAGGTACATAACTTTGATTTAGGTAGAGATATCACGGAACTTTATATTTACGGTTTATAAAAAACAAACAGTTTATATAATAACATAATATATGTAAATATTTTCTTATTTTTTTTTATCATTGAATTCTGTTTATTTAGAACATCGATTAAAACATTTTTTTTATATTTGATAACCAGTGGCGGCTCGTAACCAAAATATTGGGAGTTTACAATGACGGAATATAGGTCTCAGTACAGAATTAGGTAAAAAACTTTCAGTTGCCGTAAAAATTACATACAATAAAAAATTATGTTTTGAAGACATCTACATCCAAGGAAAAGGCAGGACCTTCTCAGCTCAGGTCTTCAGCTCCAAAATTCTTTAAGAACATGTTGTAATGGCAAAATCTAAAAAGCCTTTGGACAAAACGGGAGTTATACATTTAGTTGAGATTTTTTATTTATTTTTATAAGGAATACAAGACGGGACGAACTCAGGAACACTATTCACTATTAGTTACACGTTATTATACAATTTAGTGATTATTTAATTAAAAAAAAAAAATACAATTTTGTGAGAAAAAATATTAATGGTAATGACTAATTACAATTTTGATAATAATTACTTAAATATGATTTATATAGAAATTATTAAGTATTGTACATAAAGTTACTAAGAAAAAGAACAAATCAAGATTGATTAAATTTGACAGCGTGTTGTAAGATTTACAACATCGATGAATATGTTTTGATTTCTAGTATTGTATAATGGAATATTGATATTTATTAAACTTACTAAATGTAAATAATCAATAAAATTAGCAACAATTTTGTGAACAAATTTTATGTCGTATATTTGTCTTCTTTCTTCGAGTGAGATTAAGCCCAAATTTTGTTACGGTGTGGATAAAATTTATAATTCAAATAAGTTTTAAATTTTTTTTAAACCTTTTCAATTTTATTTATATAGGTAGTGTATTGTGGATTCCAAAAGATCGAACCAAATGATAAAATACTATTAACGTAGGACATGTAAAGCATACGAACCGACTGAATTTGTTTGAAACCTTTACTTGTCCTGAAAATAAAGCCTAGGGATCTTTGGGCTTTATTATAGTCTATTTTTATGTGTAAGAGAGTAATAAAACAGCATTTCTAATGCAAAACTTAGTACGGTCATTTTAAATATTTTTACAGAATAATCTAAATATTTCCTAAAATTGTAATAAATGTACCTGAGCTATTACAAGTTTTGGGTCTTTTATTGGTCCTTTATAAACATAAGCTGTACAGAACAATAGAAAAAGGTTTGGACAGGCCAAAAGTCCTGTGTATTAAAGATTACATAGCCGTATCTTAAGATTATTTTCAATAAGTACCTATTTGCCAATTTTGTTTTATTTTAATTCCAAGAATTTCTTACAGTAATCGAATTATAAGTAGATAAATACCTTCTCAACAAATTTCACCGAAAATGCGATTATAGGTTTTCCATTTAGTAGGAGGTCCAAGTTGTGTATTCTTGACAGTTTACTAAATGTCGTTTAGTTGCAACTTGCAAGATGCAGTGTGAATTCTAGTGTGATCATGGAAAATTTGGAAGGGCCGCGTAAACGACAAAAATTCGGTCCTTTAACAGTTAATGAAAAAACATTAATATTTAATTGTTTTAAATCATTTACAGACAAACATTTATGTAAAAGTGTTGATGACACAGTGGAATTAGTTAGTAGTACGCTTGGTGTTGGGAAATCTACGATTTACAGAGTTGTTAAAGAAGAGAAATGTGGCGAGTTTCAAACAGCACGTAAAGCTCCAGGAAAACCAAAATTTCAATTAGAAAATCTTTTGAAAGACTTCGAAGGAAAGTGCATGCGTTTTTCTTTAGAAAAGAATTTCCGACAGTAGACAAAGTATTTGCCACGGTTCGAGATGATAAGGATTACCCTGAAATGAGTCGAAGCACACTATGGAAACTTTTAAAAGAAATAGGTTTTCTATGGAAAAAGCATTCCAGAAAGTCTATTTTAATAGAAAGAAGCGATATTGTAGTATGGAGAAGAAATTACCTAAGGACTATAAAAGAAATGAGAAACTAAAGAAGAAATATATTTTATTTAGATGAAACATGGATCAACGAGGGACATAAACCAAATAAATTTTGGCAAGATGAAACTGTTACAAGTCGAAGACAGGCTTTTCTAAATAATTTATCTACTGGTTTAAATCCACCATCAGGAAAGGGGCGCAGACTAATAATAGTACACATCCGTAGTTCAAACTGTTTTGTTAAAGGTGGTTTATTGACTTTTGAATCTACTCGTACCGGTGACTACCATGAGGACATGAATGCTGATGTCTTTAAAGAGTGGTTCAAACAAATTATAGATCTTCTTCCTCAGAACTGTATAATAGTAATGGATAATGCAAGTTATCACTCGAGACTTATAGAAAAAATGCCCACAACCAAGTGGTTAAAAAAAGATTTACAGAATTTTCTAAATTCAAAGAATATTAAGTTCCATCCCGGTTCTGTGAGAAAAGAACTGATACGGGCATAGATAAAGGGAGAAGTTTCAAGAAAAAATAATTCTTTTAAAATGAGTGATGTTAAACAGTTGTTTTTGGAGGCTGTAAATAATGTGTAGCCTGAAAACTGGGAAAAGGCAGTAAATCATACGATTAAAGAAGAAGAGAAAATGTGGACAATATTACTGATGAAATGATCGAGCCACTCATTGTAAATATTGGTTGCGACAGTTCATCTTCTGATTTCGATTTGTAGGTAAGAAGTAGTTTTTATATTAAAATTATTATTTAGGAACGTAACGTTGTTTAAAAGTCAAAGTTTAAACCCTTATACCTACATAACCCGTTTGACACAATGTTCTTCTTAACATACCTTGTGGAAAAATAAAACATTTTAGAAAACATTGCACTTTTTTACCTTCAGCTCTTTAGAAGTTCTAAGCAGGTTAATTTGGTGAAAATATAAATGTATACTCGAGGAATAACTTCAAAAAATATTTTAACTGTCTACTAAAAGAAGTGATACGCCTATTTTAATACTCTCTCATACATAAAAATAGACATAACCATGTACTGTATGTGATGGTCGAATAATAATTTACAATCAAAGAATATACCTATATCTATTACAATAGAGAGTCTTGTTAAAGGTGCGTGGCTAAAAGTATAGTTTGATGGTATTTGGTTTTTGTTTCTAGGAAATGTATTGGTATGACATTTATTAAGATTAAGGTACAAGCAGTTGCTTTGACAGTATTGAAAAAAAAAAAATTGTTAAAAATCGTACCAGGGAGGCATGTTCTATGAGAAGGATTTCAAGGGTGCCGAATTTCTTGGTCGCCTATTAACGATCTTGTCGCCGAGGAGGCAGTATACCACAAAGACTATCACACCTTCGTGAAGCCTGTCAGTTTCCTAACCCCAGAAACAGGAAAACAAGGGCGGTCGCAGGCTAAATTTTCGGAGGGGTACATTGCCATTAGTCATTTCCTTTTTAGCATATTTTTTTTTAAATAAAATATTCATGTTGTAAGAATTTTCATCACAAAGGGCATGGCCCAATGCCCCAATGCCTCCCCCTTGAGCCGCCTTTGCAGGTATGTCACACAGGCTATAGAAGAGATTTTGGCGAGGTTTTGAACATCTCAAAAGTTCTTGGTGTGAAAGCAATAAAATCAGGCGCAATCAGGCGATAAAGGTAAAGAATGAAAGATCAATGTCAATCAAAATCAGCCAACATAAAGGTTCACTTTTGCGATTTTGTTTCTATTCAATCACCTGTAACTGCACTCTTTTCGGTTTTTAAGTTTTGGCTATTGGTGTGTAATGGTGGTGGTCTGCAAGTGGTCAGTACAAAAAACTCCATCAATTTAAAAGTTCTTTAAAAAAAGCCTGCATCAGGTAATGTAATGCTATACCTTAGCTACAGAGACAAAAAACAACAGAAGTTAAACATTATTAATGTATTAATTAAATTTTTGCTCTTAAACATTATTAGAAAATCTATCTTGTACGTACCTAACAAGTACTTAAACAAGAAGTACCTAAACACCATTAGAAAATCTATTACATTTTTTCAAAATTACAAGAAGTGGGGTGGGGTAGCGCAGTGGGTAGAGCTTGAGACTTTGGATCCGGGCGATCCGGGTTCAGATTCAATCGGGTGCCAAGTTTCTTTGTAACTTTTCTGAAATTAAAAATTAAATTGCATAGCCTAACGGTAATTCTCTACTCGAGCATTCACTGTTGGCTTCTAATTAACAGTGCTGTCCCCATAGTGGAGCAGGGAGACAGTAACAAAGCCTACGCACAATATGTAGCAATGCCAATGACACCTAAGAAAAAAGCAAGTACAAGAATTATATCCTACTGGTGTACTACAATATAATTAATAAAACCAAAACAAAACCAACTTAAATATTTTCGAAAAGATCTATGGAAAACATCTCATTTAGGGTTAAATGTGTTCAGAAAGATCATGCTAAATACCAACATTAAATTGACCTTGATTAAATACTATCTACTTAACTAAATTAAAGCAAAAACAAACTTCTTAAAGTGATCTAGCAATAGCCACGTCATTTAAATTATTTGCCATATCTCTTGACGGATAACTAATTCCTGGCTGATGCCTTTCGTATGACAAAAACCATATTACAGAGCAGACATGTCCACACATTCCTAAATGCAGTTAGTTATTGCATTTACTCCAATAAGTTGGCTGTTATATGCAATAAAGCATTTTCTTTCGGTAGCAGCTTGAAACCTTGAAGGTATTGAGGCTCTTATCAGATGAGTATTATTATTTTCGGTATTAGGTTGGC